ATGAAGTTTACACAGAAAAAAATAGCCGATAACAAGTTTTCTGACTGAGTAATGATTACGGATAGATAAATGTGAACTAAAAAAATGTGGATTGATACATATGGATTGATAAGTGTGTATTGATACATGTGGAGAAATAAATGTGGATTGATACATGTGGATTGATAAATGTAGATTGATACATGTGGATTGATACATGTGGATTGATACATGTGGATTGATACATGTGTATTGATACATGTGGATTGATAAATGTGGATTGATACATGTGGAGAAATAAATGTGGATTGATACATGTGGAGAAATATATGTGGATTAATACATGTGGATTGATAAATGTAGATTGATACATGTGGATTCATACATGTGGATTGATACATGTGGATTGATACATGTGGAGAAATAAATGTGGATTGATACATGTGGAGAAATATATGTGGATTAATACATGTGGATTGATAAATGTAGATTGATACATGTGGATTCATACATGTGGATTGATACATGTGGAGAAATAAATGTGGATTGATACATGTGGAGAAATAAATGTGGATTGATAAATGTAGATTGATACATGTGGATTGATACATGTGGATTGATAGATGTGGATTGATACATGTGGATTGATACATGTGGAGAAATAAATGTGGAGAAATAAATGTGGATTGATAAATGTGGATTGATACATGTGAATTGATAAATGTAGGTTGATAGATGTGGATTGATACATGTGGATTGATAAATGTGTATTGATACATGTGTATTGATAAATGTGTATTGATACATGTGTATTAATACATGTGGAGAAATAAATGCGTATTGATTGATGTGGATTTAAGAACAAAACACGAGGTTTGGTGAATTTATAGCATGTCGTGATAAAAGAGTTTCAAAACACGAGATTAGGCGAATTAATACCATGAATCATGAAAGATAAGTTATAATAACATAATTCCATCTGATCTGTCGTTTTAATCAGAGTATTTATCAAATAACATATAAACGAGTCGTGTATATATTCATATTGCTGTTATGATATAAGCATTGTTTTACATTGTCCGAACAGGCTTTCGTATGATATTACTGCCGGAGACAAAATTATTGACCAATGGTTACTTACAATGCACGTGTAATGCGCCTTTAAGCTTTCTACACTTAAGATTCCTAACATCATTGACGAGAATCCAAAAGAGGAAAACATTTGGGTGATGCAGTTTTCTTCCTTATTCGGGTATAGTGTTTCTAATTCTAAATTTGTAAGAAAGGTGATATTCATTTGTGTATATTTCGTGCGGTCTTGTTAATAAGTAAATAAACTTGAAACATTTATCGATAAACACATCCTAAAATATAAAAAAAAATATTCTATTTTATTTCTCTGTTGACCTTTTCCCAGCATTTGAGTTACACCACTAACGATTAAAAATCCCCTATGATGCCACACAATAGCAATGGACATGGGTGTCATTCATCGATCACGTGTAACACATATGATATATCAATATCCTATATCCATGCTAGTATTGTGTAATCCGTAAATCGATAAACCATCGATATACACTGCCCACACCTTTCTGAAATATTGTAGAAAGCACTGATTGACCTTATTTCTCAGTTATTGTGGTACTGACAAGCGAGAGATCAATTCTTCCTCAGATTGGTGAAGACGAATTCTATTATAAAGTATATATGTGTCATTTGGAAAAGTCATGGAGCCAGCCTGGTTGTATTTGTATTTAAATTTTATGTGTCAGAAAGGAGGGTCTTTATTGATAGGGTAAGTTATACTCTAAGTCTATTTTGAAAGTGAATTCTGAGCGCACGATATTCATACTCCATTTTTGATAAAGGAACATGTACATATGTGTTCCTATTCTATATCTGATAGGGAACGATATGTATCATTCATTTGAGTGTTTGTTTTATGCATTCATGAGTTAATGTATTTAACTATATTCAAAATTGTATTACTAGTGATCGATATTATTCTCTTGTGTGTCTTTTACACAATCTTCGAGGTGGTAGACAGGGCTGGTGGACCTTTACACCGGAGTTTACTGCAACCAGCATGTCACATTTAGGTTTATTCAAATAATGGAACTGTTTAGAATATACACATATTTTTGACTTTTTTTTCTAAAGTGATCAGATATATGAACATTTATTATTTATTATCAATTCATCAGCCTATTTAGTATGGATATTTCTTTCGATCATTTTGGATTCTCCTCAGTCGTCCGTACGGCTCTAAATTTAGATCCTTAACATCCGAGTCCTAGAATAGCTGTATGATGCAGTATATTTCACTGTTTTGCCTCTACATCAAACTCTTAAAAGGTGCTATTCACTTATGTGTCTTGTAAAATGTTCATGCATGATAAAGTCTACTGCTTAACGCTATAGTTTGATATTGTGTTGCACTTTTGCTTGCTATGTGTTCGTTTTATATATCACCATGGTATGACCTTATTAGGGTGTGACATTATCAACGTTAAGCTACCAACTCATTGATTGCCAACGGCATATGAATAACGCCGGAAATAATTATAAATTAAGCTGCCTTTCTCTTATAACAAAAACTTGAAAACTAAACAAATGCGTTTTTCCTTTACCCTTTTTCTGTTGTCATTCACAACCCTATGAACGTCACTTGAAAAGACGGTTCAATGATACAGAACAGCACTATCAGTTTAGAATGCACACTTGTACATATACAAAATTGTCATCAATTTTGATGGATGTAGCACGCTCTGTAGACCGAATTTAATGAATAAAAAAGCCACGCTATGAATGACGAAAGTGTTTTTTTCATGCTACAATTAAGTGCAACGAACTGCTGTTTTAACTATGTATCTTTTTTATCTGTTGCAGAATTCGATGCTTTACAAAACTGCTTTTCATAACTTGTCAGACCTCTGTCGTTGAGACTGCACTTCCAGAATTCAACACAATACTTTAATTGCGTTTACAAGTACACTACGCAACAGATGCTTGCCTGTGAAGAGGAAATTGACACGAGTCTGACATGAAACGCTTGGATACAGCTAAAGGAATTGTTTTTAAATAGCGCTTGAATCGAAACTAAGGATGGTTTTGTTTGATGCTTAATTACCACACATATAATACGACGCAGTTTTATTGTTATTGAACGTTTGCCTTAATCCATCCTTGCAGACGTAAACTAAGTCACGTGTGGAGTTTTATGTATTTTAATAAGAAAATAAAACGTGCTATTCCAGTTTTCAGGACGGTAACTACAAATATTTGTCTTCACAGCTGATTTACATTTCACTGTTAGTGGCTGTGTATATATACGTCGCTGTAAATTGAAACAGATTACGGGTATATGTTTCCCACACCGTGACTGAACGCTCAGTGATTCTCCTATATTTCATTCGATGACGATTCTGTGGATACACTTGAACTGTTCGCTGTACAGTAGTCGTGACGAATCAAATTTTATACAGTAAAGTGATACTGGTAGTATTATGGCGTAAATTTCAGTCTTAATCACACGGGATATATTTCCTAGAGTAAGGATCAAACAACAGCTAAAGACCAGTGGATACAATGCACATCATGCATCACCCTCATGGAATACATTTGCTAATTTTGTAATGCAGCTCTCGGGAACGAACAGTTATTCAACATTCCACGCGACAATGTCGAGAAACAAACATTTCAATAACATGTGTATGTTTATTGAGGATTTCACGAAATAACGATTTTAGTGTGTTGCAATGTTTTGAGGATCATACCTGTATGTTCGACATTTTACATGATAACGGTCCTTGGAAGCCACCATTTTAGTGTAAAGTGTATATGTTGAAGCAGTATTTCTTGAGAAAAGGTCTACGTTTGTCAGACGTTTAATTGGATAACCTCTGATTAAATTACAAAGTAAAGATTTTCAGATTGCCCAACATTACACGGATAACTACTGTGTACGTGCAGGATCTTACAACGACAAAGTTTGTACAGCATTCTAAATGTCAACTAAAGTGTTCATTCATTATCTCACGAAATTACGATAAAGTCTGTCCAACATTATTACGTGGATACCTGCTGTACGCATGCCTCTCACGAAGCAAAGCTTTCAGCATGTTCATCATTTAAATGGGTAAACATTGTGTTCATTCAGGATATCGCTTAAAAAACGACGAAGTTTATTTAACAATAAGTGGATGACTTCTGTGTTCATGCAGCAAATCACTTGATAACGACCAAGTTTATCCAACAGTTAAAAGGGCAACAGCCATGTTCATTCGTCATCTAACGAAATAAAAGACTTAAGTTTGTCCAACATTAAGAATATAACTGCTGTGTCCATACAGCATCCTGTGGCGAAGTTTGTGGTTATTCAGTATCTTACGAAAGAACGATCTACACTTGTTTAATCATGAGTGGATAATCTCTTTGTCTATTCAGTGTTTCTCGGAATAACTCTGGATGATTCCATGGATGACGTCATAATCAACAAAAAGTCTTACTGTGTTTACTTTTACTTATTTAATGTCTTTAATGGACCGCACAAATGGGCGGGGTTTTAGTTTACATTAAACCGCGCTACTTAAATACTGATCGAGCTGTGTAAATATCTCGTTCACAAAATAGTGACAATAATTTTCTTTTATATTGCAGTGAATATTTCTTAAATTATTCATTATTTAAGTGCATTGCAACTGCAGAACGACAGCGATTTCGGTAATTTCACATCAGCTCAGAAAACATGTGCTGGGGAGTTTGGTTCGGATAACTGTGTATCATGAAGTGAGTTATTAAATACACTAAAATATTGAATATCAATATTATGTAAACATTACAAAAAAGTGTTCAATACAAATGGGAATTTACCATAGGAAATATATCTAATTGTCAATGACATGATCTAAGGAAGGCGATGACTACAAACAACAGCAATGGTTTGGGATTAATATCATGGTAAGGGCTTTATCAACACTACATTCATATTTCAACAAAAATATCACGACAATATGAGTATGACGGAAAATACGACAATGTCTGTTTTCAATATTTCATTGACTCCAACGAGTTTGCCTCCTGCTTTAGTTGAAGCAGATAATACTGAACAACTGAGGATCACTCGTTTGGTTGTCCAGAATATCCTTGTTCCTCTCGTTGTCGCTCTGGGATTAACAGGAAATATCCTCAGCATCATCGTTCTTACTCATCGTTCGATGAGAACGTCGACAAATTGCTATCTCGCAACGTTAGCCATTTTTGACATGTTATATTTGCTTATGTCTTTCTCGCTTAGTTTCAAACATTATGGTGATCTGGGAGATGCCCGTGTTTATAAATACTGGTTTCCTGTTGCACGCGTTCTAACGGATATATGTGGAAATGTTTCGGTCTGTCTAACAGTGACGTTCACCGTGGAACGTTATATAGCGGTGTGTCTCCCTATGCGAGGTCATGTGATATGTACACCCGAAAGGGCACGAATCATTGCACTGCTAGTTGTTCTTTTCGCTATAGTGTCAACGTCACCGGAATTCTTTGAATGGGAAGTGTCAGAGAAAATTGTGAATAACGTCACCATTGTTGAAGTAATTGATACGGAACTTGGTAAAAGTAACACTTACCAATTGGGATATTACTGGTATATAGCTGTGATGTTTACATTTGTACCACTTTTCTGTATCTGGACATTTAATTCAATTCTAATCTACACAGTATGGAAAGCGACAATGTTACGTCGGCGAATGACGCATGTGGTATCGAATCGGACACACGGGGAGCGTCAACAAGGTGACCAACAAAAAATAACTCTTATGTTGATAAGTGTTGGTATAGTTTTTATAGTTTGTCAAATTCCTTCAGCCTTTTTAATAATATTCCATACTTATTTAAATAATGCGGAGATTGTGTTGTCCAAAGCCGAACGAAACAGCATGAAAATCGCTGGGAATGTGACAAATTTACTTTTGTTACTAAACGCCGCCATTAATTTCATGCTATACTCGGTGATGAGTACAAAGTTCCGTCGTGTGTTTCTTCGTGTTGTTTGCAGGCCTTGCTATGGCAAGAAAAAAAAGTTTAATTGCACAGAGTACAGCTATGTCACAAATCAAACGTCTACGAGACGTTGCTCACACTTTCGTACAACATATGACAATCGAATACACAAGGACGATAATCTTACTGCTTCACTTGGAACACTTCTTCCTCAAGGTAGAGATAACAGGAGGAGCTGGTCCCCTGCAAGGAGTTTAGGAAATCTTCGATACTCTTCAGATTCTTTGCATTTGGATTCGACACCAATAAAAGGAGTTCCTAATGGCCATTCCAGAAGCAAAAACAGTATGTTAGATACAAATATATAAATCTATCGATTAATCAGCTGATAGAAGTGAACGTTTTTGTTTCATGTTTGAGTATTATAATTTACATTATAGATCAATTGCGCGTTCCCAGTAAGATTGATTTGATGTTTGTCGTTTCTTACATTATACTTTTATAAATATTTAATTAGATTTCCCCACTGCTGTTTTAAATCTTAATGTGATTCAACACAGAGTTTGAGTGACGAAAATTTTGTCTTCCTGTTCAGTTGAAATTACAATTGTTACTTTGCATTTCAAATAAGAAATAATGATATAATTTAAAATTACGTAAGAAATGAATCATCAAGAATATCGTTAAATTTTAAGAATGCATAGAAACAGTTAAGTTTTCCGTGCAAATAATTTTACTTAAAGCCATGTCAACTGTTTTTTGGTTTAACTTTTTGTATGTTTTTTATTTTTTAGAAAATAAAAAAATCTGGTGGCGATAATTTGAACAGTTGAACATATTAACGAAACCTGATATTATACATGTGTTTGTGTATGTACATGGGATAGGAAAAACAGTTGTGACGATGTAATCCATAGATGAAGTAGAAAAGTTATGTGTCCTTGATGGTACACTGGCCTGCTATTTTTTTATTCTTAATACAATTCTTGTCGAGACCAATTTAACAATCACCTTTACCTACATGTCAAACTAAAAACATATTCTTGTTTCGTAACAGTATTAAGTCTTTACATAGAAATTTTAAATTTTCATGATGTATGAAACGCAGCATATATTTTTGTATTAATGCATGACTATGGATTTTAAAAAGACTACAAAAGCTGTATACATGTACTGTATTTTTATCAGAATATTTCTTTCTTTTTTTGTCCTAACCATTTGCCAAATTGCAAAATTTAACTTTAAACAATTTTGTTGAACACTGTATCTCCCTGTCAAAAGGTCTATTTGAGGCAGGCTATCCTCATATTTACTGGTTACTGCATCAGTGAACAATATACGGGAGGCACGTCTCATACGATCATGATCATTTAAGGTAAAATATCTAGCACAAGGACTACAGCACAGGACGATTCTGTACTCAACTTAATGTTGATTTTATGAAAATACAAAATCCCATAACACGAGTGTCTTAAAATGTAGATAAATTTATCTTCGAAATGACTTTTATTTAATCCTTTTAATTACTGAAAACACTTTATTCGTTTTTACTGGTATTACAACATCAGTATTTCAATAGCACTATGGTATAGAATCCAAGAGTAACATACTCAAATAGATACCTCAATTATTCAATTAAATAAGTGAGCAAGGAAAAGGCAATAAGAGATTCCGAACTTCGTACAAAACCCACCAAAACATTGCGACTCCATAGGGCATATAGACATAGTTATCATACTGCAAAATAAAAACGCAAAATTGTCATAAATCATGGCAGTTGTTAATAAGGCATTTATATGACACATTTTAAGACTTGTTCGTAACAAATATTCATTTATTTGTTGACACTATAACTTGTGTGTATTTTGATAATGCACTTTGTTTCTGTAAACAAATTTCACATTTGTATCACCATAGTGTGAGTTTCGTGCATTTTTATGATTTATTATTAACAAATAATGTACGCAAGTGTGACACCGGTGGCTGATTTTTCATTTCTATTTTTTGTTTAAATTCCTTCTATGATCATACTTACATACATTATACTTATATTGTTAAATTAAAGAATATTTTTCTCTTATTATTCCTGTTGTTTATTTCTCTATACCAACCACTTGGTTAAAGCAAAAACTTGACCAAGTACTGCGTACGGTTACTAAATAAAACACTTTGTACTCATGTTCAAACATAAATATTCCCCTTCCTTGCCTGTTTAATTTTTTTTTTATCATATAATACTGATATGATATATAATTTTCATAACTCTATTTTAATAACGCTATCACTTCATGTAATGGAACTTTCCTTAACGCATACATTGATTCAAAATAACTTACTATTCTGTACATTAAATACACAACACTACATTATCAACAAGCAATGGTTCAAGTTAATGGAGATTCTGTACATTAAATACCACACTACATTATCCATGATGTAGTTTAATTCATCCTTTGGCTCAGTTTGCAGCTGATACATACGATACTGCTGATGGACTTTGTCCCTAAGGTTTGCCGTAACATGGGCGCCACGAACTTAGCTGAGCAGTGGCATCGTATATTTCTCTATACACTAAATAAAATCCACATAATAATGACGTCTTTTTTCACAACAGCTTTTGTGATTGAATTAAGACAAATTTTCTCTGGAAATAAAATTGTTATTTGTAAGCATGATTTAGTAATGTACATACAGTATCGCCAATTTTTGTCAAATGATAAAATAAGGTGTCGTGGAAGGCAAAGACCTTGTCGATTATAATGTATAGTTATCATATCTGTGTGTATGTAAAGGATGTTATGTTTGAACTTCATTTTGACCATATTTAATCCGAAAACCGAATTTTAAAAATTTGTATACTGATCAAGAGGTAATAAATATCATTTGTTTCTAATACTGTCTAGTATGATTTGTACTGGTCATGATGTGGCTAATATCAGCTTTATCTGACGAAATCATGTGAATTAGAAACACATATAACACAAATAAAGAAATATTCTTGACTAACAATTAACGTATACAGTTTTCAACCTTAAACATACATTACATACATTCGTATGCAATACAAGAAGTGTCTGAGCTATACAGAATCACATTTTGTTTTCAAATCAAACTTCTCTATAACATGGATATACTGTTACACATTTAATAGCATGTGCTTTATCAAATACAATCAACGAACAGTTACAAACTCAATTTCTTAAAGTAAATGCTGTATCACGCTTATCACATTCCATAAAAATCATATTTCATAGCGAAGGATATTTGATTACGAATTAAGTCGGTAAACTTACATTCATTAATACACAGACCATATTTCACATAAAAAGAATATTGTTTTTTAAGAGTGTGTCAAGTAGATAAAACACGATGAATAAATATATATATATATGTATTCAGTCGTAAAATTCAATAACTCAAATTTATCAACAAGCTCATTGAAATACCTGTACATTCTCACATCGACAAAGCTCATACATTCACATAGATATTTGCAGTAATTTAGAAGCAATTAGCTGATAATTATTAACGAGCTCAGGAATGATTCACATTGCAGCAGCTATTAACAAAGGTGTCAAGTTTACATAGATATCAAAAGTAATTAGCTGATATTAATTAACAAGCTCGTTGATTTGCATTGTCATAACTATTAGCGCAGCTCAAAAGTTCACGGATACCTACGGTCAATTACTTTTAATGGTTTGAAAGTCTATTGAATGGCATTCTTGATTTCCCTCGATTAACAGGAAACGTTTATCCTTCCGGCACATCTGGGCCAGTTTTCATGAAACCGTTCTCGTGTGCTCAAGTCTTATGTGTTGTTTAAGTTAAAAATTTAAAAAATAAGGCTTATCTGGCCGAAGATTTAAAAACAAATTTGAAAGGACTTGAAGTCAAAGCTATATTCAAGGTTTAAATTTGACATTTGTATTATTTTTAAATCATTTAAGTGAATTATATAAATGTTTGCTTGAGCACAAAATCTATGCTTGAGCATGAGAATGCTTTCATGAATACGGCCCTGGTCTTATTCTTCTGGTACCATTTCATACGTTTCTTTTGTTTATATTTTCTCCTCGCTTCATCAAAAATGAGTTTGAATAAGATTCTGTTGACATCTCGGTATTTTCATCTTTGTTGTTTTCATAAACAAGTTTGATAATTTAAGTGACTTTTTTTTTTAAAAAAAAAACCTGCTCGATGATTCTCAGTAATGATAGTAAAGTATGTGATTCATGCCAATTATTAGACTTCAGAAATCCATATTAAAATCATTCAATGCTACGATTCACATTATATACCAAATAAGACAGAATCATAATTCAAACCCAAATTCAATCAAATAGGGGCAGAATATAAACAAAATAGATTTTATATGAGATAATGTTAGGAGAATAAGACCAGAGAGAGCGACGTTTGTCCCCTGATTCAAATACATATGTATATATTACAAATTGAAGGATTTACATGTGTGACACAAGTTCTTTAGTAAATAGAAGACAGAATATATATATCTTATACCTGTATACTGAAAATATACCAACACTGACAACAAAGTCTACAAATATTAAATGGTATTTTTTCATTGAAATCGAATCTCTTACAAAATCATTATATCTTTATGCCATCGTAACACCTGTCGAATTTCTAAGAAGTCAGGTTGTATTGAATATTCGCTAATTACATATGTAAACCGTTGTGTAATGGCGCCACTTTTACAAAATGTAACAATAAAGACTTGTTACTCATGTTGGCCTCCTATGACACTTTGAATGTTAAATACGTATTCCGCACGTGTGAGGACTGTCCACTCTCAAACGTTAAATATCCCTCTATGTTTTTTCCAAAAAGAGTAGGCGTGACAACGCCAGTCAAGGTGTTTAGGGATAGTGCTAGGCTATACAATTGTTATAAAGACATTTGACAGACTTCATTTTGACTGTATTTCTGGAAAAGTTGTTTTGTGTAGGAAAAGTGGCTTATTTAATTAGACAATAAACAAATAAAAATAATTAATTAATCGATGATTTTGGACAAAAGACGGCAACTGAATAGCATTTTCCAATGCAAATGAAGAATTCCACAGTTGAGTTAATCAATTAAACTGCAGCAAGCGAATGTTTCGTTATTCTAGGACTTGTCAGTGACGCTAAATCATACAAGTGTTTCGTCCTTCTAGAACCAATCGGCAACGCTAAAGGCTTGTTGAATGGTTTCAGACGTGCCAGGAAAATAAAAAAATGCCCGAAATAGATTTCAAAAAACCAGATCGGCAAATTTTAGGATAGCAATAATTGTACAAAATCATAGCACCTTTCAATAAAAGTTTTCAAAAAATGTCAACAGTAGAGCCAAAGAATGAATTTAA